ATCTCTAACTGGATGTCTCATAGGGATCTCAAACTCCACATTTAAACAGAATTCATTATCTCTTTCCCCAAACCCATCCCTCCAAACTTCCCTATTTCTCCCTCTTCCTCATTGACCCCTCCCACAAATATCAAATCCTGTATGTTTTACCAGCACATTATCTCTCACCATCTAACCCTTCTCTCCACTCACACAGCCACCACCCTATTACTTCATGCCCTCACTGCCTTTTTTTTTTTTAAAGACAATCTGGGTTAAGTGCCTTGCCCAGGGTCACACAGCTAGTGTCAAGTGTTTGGTCTGAGGCCACATTTGAACCCGGGTCCTCCTGATTTCAGGGCTGGTGCTCTATCCACTGCACCACTAGCTGCCTTCCTCATTGCCTCTTGCCTGGACTTCTGCACCCACCAGATTCCAGGCCTTTTTCTAAGCTCCCCTCCACACAATCATTCTAAAGTACAAGTCACACACCACGTCACACCTCTACTCAAGAAGTCTTAGGATAAAATAGAAACTCCTTCGTCTGGCCTTTAAAGCCCTCCACAATCTGTCTCTAGTCTACCTTCCTATCACTGAACTGTTAATTCTCTCCTCTAAGTTTCTGGGAAGGCTTGAACCAGTCTGCCTCCATCTCTAATACCATCCACCTGGAAGTATACCCTTTATCTAAGAGATAAGCACGCTGAAATAAAACAAGAAAACATTTCCTTTACATACTTTATGTTCCAGTCAAACTGGCTTATTTGTCCCTTGCACTTGACCCGACACTCCCTTGTCTCTGCCTTGACACCCTTGCCCTCTGCATTTGGAATTTACTACTTCATCTTCTCCTTTTAGGATGACTGTCTTCCTTCACAGTTTAGCTCATGTGCTATCTCCCTTAGGAAGCCTCTTCTCATTTCCCTTGTTAGGACATTTTCCTCCCATGCATGTATTTTAACTGTTTACACCAGAAGAACAAAAGTTCCTTGTGGGTAGGGACTGCTTTTCATTCTTCTACACAGCAGGCACATAATATTACTGCTGGATTGGATCTGAAGCTAACTGATGATCTGCAGAGGCTCTCATGCCTGTGTCCATCTGTCCTGGGTCAGTACTTCTTCACCAACAGAGGGTGGCCTCCATTTCTGCCTCTTGTTCCAGGTGCAAAAATTCCTAGTTATAGTTCTGCCCAAAGCTTTTGTTTTCACGGTGTGAGGAATGGGAGATGGGATCAAAAATACTGTGAACGTCTGCCAACAACAAAATTAGTGAAGTTGTTCCTCTTAGGGCATGTAGAAAAAGTTCCTCATTTTTTTAACTTCTATGACTAACTTATTAGGCACTTGAACCTAACTGCTCTAAAACCAAGATCATCCTTGCTAAATCTTCAGATTCTCTCTGGAAACCTGGGTAGCCAACTTTATTTTAGGATATCACTTCCATTATTAGTTATCCCTCTGAAATTCATTCATTTTAGTAGGTAGGAAATTCCTTCTGGCTAGGACCTGAAGAAAGAACTTTTAAAATCCTAATCACTTAAAATTACTTCTCTTTACCCTGAAGGAGTATATGCAAAAAGCCTTCCTACAAAAGGCACATCCCCAGAACATCAGAGGGCCACAATCAAATGAAAATACAAAAACTGAGCTCAAAAACCAGATATTTTTGATTACTGATCATTTTAGCTATGTACATCACTATTACACTGAGAGTAACCGAATGTATTCTGTTAGTTCCTATGTTTTACGGTAAGGGAAACCCTCTTCTTTCATTTTGGCTAAATTCCTCAAGGCCACCTACAGATGATGTCCCCACTTCCTCTCCTCTCACTCTCTTCTTACCTCTCTGCAATCTGGCTTCCCGATAATTCCACTGAAACTGCCCTTTCCAGAGGTCAGCAGTGATCTCTTAGTTGCCAAACCGGGTGGCCTTTCCCCAGTCTTCTTGTCTTGACGTTCTGCAGCCTTCAGCACTGTCAATCCCTTCCCTCCAGCTGCCAATCTTCATCCGATTCATGCCACTAAGGTGGGTGGCTCCTCGAGGCTGCCCAGGGCCTCTTCTCTTCTCCCTCTTCACTACTTTACTTGGTGATCTCATCAGCTCTCTCAGAGATTCAATTATCATCTCTGTGCAAATGATTCTTGGGTCTATCTATCTAGCTCTCCTAACCTTCAGCCTCACATCTCAAACTGGACATACCACAGACAATTTAAACTCAATATGTGTGATCAAAACTTCCTTCATCATCTTTTCCCCCAAGCCCTTTCCTCCCAAATTCCTTATTCCTGTCAAGGGTACCACCATCTTCCCAGTCCCTCAGGCTAGAAACCTTGGTGTCTTCTTGGAATCTACTCTCTCACCCTCCACATCCAATCTTTCGCCAAGGCCTGTTGATTCTACCTTTGCCATCTCTCTCATGTATACCCCCTTTTCTCCTCTGCCACTGCCACTATGTTGGTGCAGGCCCCTCACTGCCTCACATCTGGAGTACTGCCATAATCACTTTCTGAATGCTCTCCCTGCTTCCAGTCTCTCTCCACTCTAGTCCAGCCCTCAACTCAGCCATCCAAGTAATCTTCCTAAAGCACAGGCCTGACCATGTGTCTCCCTCCACCCCCAATAAGCTCTACCAGCTCCATTATCACCTCCAGGACCAAACATAAAATCCTCCGTTTGGCTCATAATCTTTCGCAACACACCACCTCCCTACCTTTCTTAGTTCTGTTTGCTTCCACGTCCTCCAGCATCCAGTGACACTGACATCCTTGCTCTTCCTTGCACACCACTCAACCTCCTGACTCCAGTGCCTCTTCCCTGGCCATCCTTGAGGCCTACAATTCTCTCCACCTCCTGGATTCCCTGGCTCTCTGTCTCATCTGAAACCCTACCTTTTACAGGAAGCTTTTCTTGATATCCCTAAGCATTAGTGCCTTTCCTCGGAGAGCATCCCCAATGTCTTTTATGTGTATTTTGCTTGTGTAGAGCTGTTTGCCTGCTGTCTCTCTCATTAGACTGTGAGCTCCCAAAGTTTAGTATAGGGCCCACTGGCTTGACAGGTCCAGCACTGACAAGGGCCTATTTACTAAGGAGACCAGTCACTTGTTGTAGCTACAAATCTCATTTTTAAGAGACCACTATTAAACAACATCTTTTAATACCAACCACAGTTACATTTCTCAGCCTGAAAAATACAGGGCTACATCATCAAGTGCTAAAGTGCCAAGAATATGCTGCTGTAGGTTTTTATCCCCAAAGCACTGTTATGTGACCACGATCCTCTTTTACTATAGGAAAGTTACGTGGCTAATGGATACAAAGGAATCTAACCCTAAAAGGCACTGCTGTTTTAACTACTGATTTGGAATCAATCATAACCATGGAGACTAGTTTTCTTTTTCTTCTTGAGTATTTAATGACAACTGCCACATAAGTAATACCGAAGAACCTGTCATTAGGCAGTGGAAAGAGTGCTAGATTTGCAGTCAGAAGACTTGGGTTTAAATCCTGCTTCTGTCACTACCCGTATGACTTTGGGCAAGTCACTCAGACTCTCTGGGCCTCTGCCAGTCTGGCTGAACTCTATCAATTCTAGTCTTTTTCATCTATAACTCTACTACTCTGTGATAATAAAGCAAAGTAGTGATTTGGCATATAGCCAGAATGTGAATCTGAAAAATGGCACATGATTATCATTTGTACCATTATGGCATGAGCACAGTAGTTGGAAAGGGAAATTCCCCCTGTACCTAAATTAAGCCCCTCTCAGACATCAGCCAAGTCAGAGCCGGCAAGGACAAAAGAAACAGAAAGAGATATTCCCAGGAAGGGCGTGTGTACGCCAGGGAGCGAAGCTGGACTCTTTACTCACCATTTTAATACTGCTGACAACTGTAACAGATGGAAATCTGTATAGACTGACAAAACAGAGGTGGGGATGGAGGGGAATCCAAATTGCAAGTTTCGGCAAAAGAAGATACTGACTCAAGTTTACTAGAGTTAACATTGCTACAGTAAAAACAATGGCAAACAGGGATTTGGCACCAATTGACAAAGCAAAGGCATGCATTGTTAATACAGACTGAACGTCTCTCAACAGAAAAAAGGCCATGGTAGATGGAAAACAAGGTGCACCTTTTACAAAACTCCCCCACTGACTTAAGACTCACACACAAGAATCAAAGTGGTCAATTTAGTAGATGAGTAGCAACAAAGTCTTTCATCCAGTTTGGAATTTAGCAATTTGTTTCTCTAATCGGCAGCTGTCCAGGGTGTGCCGACGCCCAAGAAGCTGGCTTTTGCATACTACAATAGTCTCAATCTGAAAAGTAGTAATTTGGTAATCAGCATAAACCAGGTCAACCCTCAACCTATAAGCTTAAAAAAAAAAAAGAGCTATAATCCTACGGCAGAAATCTTCAATATCATTTCCTTTTAGAAATTAATGTGGTCCTTGGAAACAGGATGGAAACACAAGCTTCATTCAAAAAAGCCATCGTAGCCACAAGAACTCAAAACAACCTTCAGTTGTGGTCATATCAAATTCTGATCATCCCAAGAGTTAAAAACAAAGAGTTCCTACTAAGAGGAATACTTTCAAAATGATCTGGTCGTATCATGTGCATAGTTAAGTGTTTGGGGGTTTTTTCGTTGTTTTTTTTTTTTTAAATAAAGTTTCTTTTGCAAACAAGGAAATAAAATTTAGTAAAGTTATACTTTTTAGATGGAAAAACTTTAAAAATGGACTAGTGGTGGTTTGTTAAAAGAAAAGGAAACAAGAATAAGCTACATATTGAAGTTGTGGAATGCAGCACCTCAAATTTACACCAGCTGTATGCGCCTGAGATTGTGAAACCCTCATGTTGTGATGATCAAGTCACACTTTAGAGCTGCTCCATTTCCAATGTCCAACTTTAAAATGTCATGTCAATCAAGAGATCCCTATTACAGAAGATTGTGCTAGAGAATGTGAAGATTCTGCATGTTGCTGTCATTCCCCTGGTCCCGTTCATGCTTGCACAGCTGCCCCATGGCACAGCAAAAGAAGTCTGGTTCTTACAGTCCACACCATAATGCCTGGGGAAAAAGAATATTTTTTAGACAGTGAAGGTTTATCAGAGCAGGCCAAGATATTATTCTAGTATGGATACGAAGAACATACACTAGAGTTTTACCTTTATGAATTCCACTTAATAAAGCCCACATTCCTTTAAGTTGTTTTTAATGATGACATCTGTAACAGCATCAAAAACAAACTGCACATTTTTGGTGTCGGTGGCACAGGTGAAGTGGGTATAGATCTCCTTGGTGTCTTTTCTTCGGTTCAGATCTTCAAACTGACACTGAATGTATGCAGCTGCCTCCTCATATGTGTTAGAACCTGAAAAAGTAGGAGACACTTGATAAGCTCAACTAAATAAAACAAAACTTCTAAATATTATTACCATATATTTGTAATACAGGACACATTACCAAGACAGTAGTCTATATTTCTTTACTGTGAAAGTACTATGTGAACCTGAATAAAATGTCTATGTCATTAAGTTTTTTGCAGCTATTAAATTCCGTTTATTCAACACTCTGTTAGACATCAATAATTTCCTCATTTATCTTTTTTTAAAATTTGTCGTACTGTGATAGTGGAATACTGAAATCATGTATCACTATTTTCTACATGTTCTTAAACTACGGCAACCTATTCCTTTATAAATTTATCCAATATTATCTGGTGTATGTTTATTTAAAATTGGTAAGCTCATTTCGAAAAATACCTTCAAATACATTATGATTTTTTTTTCTCTCATATTTTTTTTTGCATTAAATTAAACATTTCACATAGACAACATTGTTGGGATTCTGATTTTTTTTATTCTATTCTGTAATCCTTTTCTTTTTATTGAGGAATTAAACTCATTTACATTTAGAGTTAGAATTGTTAGTTTAAATCCTCTACTATTCTTTAAAAAAAACACTTTATGGATACTTAATTTTTAACGTTAAGCATCATACTTCTTTAAATTAGTTGTTTTGTCAGAATGAAAAATAAAAATCCTTTCTTTTATTTCTACCAGTAAATCAAACTTAGGAAGACTTTTTGAGGCTATTTTGATCTACTTCATGGATTACCATAACCAAAGAACTGATCACCTACTGGCCAATCTCTTAGAGATGTGTCTCTCTGTACTTGGCTGGACCAGACAATGGTCAGTAGATACAATCTATTTCCAAAATTAAACAAAATTTCTATATTCTATGTTAAACTCTGAAAGTCTCTTTAACATCTGGATGCCTATTCCTTAGTCAAAAATAGAAGTTTCCCTTTGAAACAGTTGTTACCTGATATTAGGTAACATCCTGCCCCTTCATCTTTTTCCTTTTTTGTTTATCTGGAATGTCTCAGTCTATATTTTTTAATCAATAGGTCTGATGAAATTAAAAAACCAAATGAAGAATTCTACTAGAATAGTAACATGCTACAATAGACATGAAGACTCTAAGCTATTAACACTTACTATGACCCTACACAGTCTCTATAAAGAGGAAAAACCCTTGGGTAGCAACCAAAAATGAGGGGAAAAAGGAGAGGAGGGGTGGAACTGCTTCAGACTTAGGGGGAAAAAAAAGGCAGGAGAGTAGAAGATGGTACTTCTTGAGTACCAATTTACCCACAATCAGAAAAAGTAAGTGCTGTGAACTTTAGGCTCATATAAATTCTTTTTCTTAGTATTCATAACAAGCGAATGGTTCACAAGTCATGCACTCTACCCCCAACTTCAAAGGTCAGTTTAGTTTTAAGGGGAGTTAGTATTGGAGCCTTATGTTAATTGGGGAGAAGTCTGATAATTCCTTATTTCAGCCACACTTCCAAGTCCTACAGGCAACGCCTCTGTTGCATGTTCACTACTTGTGGAGCCAGGACTTACAGCCTGAGAGTCAATGAAGATCAACCTAAATATCCAAATGATATTTGACTGTAATATTTATCACAAATGGCATGACAAAATACAAATAAATAATTTTATAAATGGGATCTCTACCAAAGCTAGAGAAATAAGTAAGCCACAGTGTGGAAAGGAAGTTGCAGTGCTCTTAAGAAGTTTATGAAAGCTGGAATTCAAGTTCTATTTAAGACAAAAAAGCTTAAAGAAACACAGAAGTTTTCATCAGAACAAGGGTTTCAAGACTAGAAGGAAAAAACCCTGGTGAACATTAACTAGGGAAGAGATTTCTCAAGGTATGAAAAGAGCTTGATAATGGTAGAAGGGAGACAGCTGAGCACACTGTGCCTGACAGAGGTGCTGGCAGGGGCCAAGGAGTCAGGCCAGGGAGTATCCACATACAAGATGCAAGCAATGTTTAACAGACGCTAAAGTCCATACACAAGAATCTGGATTTAATACTATAGGTGACTTCTTTGACATATTTGTAGGAGAGAAGTGACATGGTCAGAGTGGTGTCTGAAGAAAATGATTTTGGCAGCAGTGTTTTGGATGCCTGGAGCTAGGAGGAGGAGTCAGGCTTTGATTTGGGATAAGACTAAAATTGCTTCTTAAAAGAAGATGAACTAAAGCATCTAAGAGAGTTTCCTGAAATTTCTAGTCATTCATACTGATGGATATCCAAAATTATATGAACTCTATGATCGGCTCTCAGTGAGTTTTCTCTGACATGCTGCATTTGGCCTGACACATTCGGGAGCTTGTTCAAAATACAAAATAATGCAGAGTTCAGTAAATTTTTTATTACCTAAAGTGTTAAGAAAGCATTAGATGTATATTCTGAAATAACAACAAAGAAACTCTTGAAGAGAAAATGGAGATTTTTTGGCAGATATGTTGAAAAAGGTGGGCATGTTCAAAGATCTAGATCTAATGGAAGAAAAGGATTGTAGCCAGCTGGAAAATGACCCCACCACTTGACCAAAACTTTCCTCTCCACGATCACCATAAAATTTTAATCTAATAATCCAATATGGCCTCACCTTACAGTTGACCACTACCTCCTCTTGGACACCCTCCCTTCCCTTCCATGACCCTTGTCTCTCTTGGTTTTTCTCCTATCCTTTCTCTCCTCTCCTCCTATCTGATCATTCCTTCTCGGTCTTCTTTATGGGATTATTGCTCATACCTTTCTCCTAAATTTCAAAGCTCTGTCCCGGGTTCCCTTCTTTACACTCTCTACATCCTCTCAACTGTCTGTTGCACATCTTTTCCGGGATGTCCTGCAAGCATCTTAAACTTATTTAGATCAAAATGGAATGCATTATCTTTTTCCACTAACCATTCTCCTTCTTCAAACTTTACTATTTCTACTGAGGTCACCACAACCTTCCCAGGTTTCTAACCTTGGAATCAGGCTTGATCTTTTTCTCTCCAACCCTCACAGCCGACTGTTTGACAAACCTGTAAGACCTGAAGCATCCGTCCCCCTTTTTTTATTCAGCTATACTCACATCTCTCACCTAGACTGCTGACACAGATTCTCAACTAATCTTCCTGTTGCAGTCCCTCTCCTCTGTGACATGTCTTCCACACTGCTGTCAAAAACAATTTCTTCCTAAGTTATAGATCGTACCCTGATGTCAGGGCCCCACTGCTTAAAGGAAGAAACCAATTCTCTGCCCTGCTTGTGGTTCCCTCCCTCTCCAGTCTTACTTCATAGCCTTCTTCTACGTCAACTCTAGCTTCCAGTCAAACTGAAATACCAGTCATTCCCCAAACTTAATACTCCGTTTTCGACCTCAGTATATTCCACACAAGCCATTCCCACACCTGAAATGCATTCCCTTCTTATTTTTACTTCTCAAAACCTGAGGTGCAACCTCTTCCACAAAGTCTTTTCTGAAATCCCAGCTGATAATACTTTCTTCTCCCTCCATTTTCCTTTTGACCCTATGCTTGTTTATGTAAATTACATATCCTGGCCCCAGAGTATGTAGGCTCCTTGAGAGCAAGGACTGTTTCATTCCTGTCTTTGTATCCTTAGCGTCTAACACAAAACTCTGAACACAGCAGGTATTTAATAAATGTTCAGCTGAATTGAATTACTGAAGAGACCATTTACCAACTGGCATATATGAACATACAGAGTTATTTGTATTCAGGAAACAATCAAATAAGGTAACATTTATAAAGCACTCTGAAAACCATAAAGCACTGTGTAAAATGTTAACTATTATCAGTAGTAGTAAAAATCCCCAATCAGGATTATATTTACATTTATCAAATAAAAATGCCTGAAGTAAAGTCTACTTAGTCTATTAGCATCATTATGCTTCTTATTAAGTGATAATGAATTTTAATTTTATAAGTGTGTGTCTTACATCTGTGACAGGTAATCTATGTCCATACTGATACTGTGTCTATAAAATCAATGGCCATTCACCTCAAGATGGAAAATTTGCTCAAAGTAAAGATTATGTAAAAATTAAACCAGTAAACTCTACCATGCCTAGAATAACACCTTAAGGGTTACTTAGTAAGTGCCTGGTGCTTTTAATCACACCAAGTACTGCCCCCTAGACCAGGGGACTTTATACAAAAAGCACATATATAGTTCACAATAAGATGTGGTTCATACGATCAGAAATGCCCACCTAGAACTATTATTCTGAATGAAGTCTTTTACTGATCTTTACCTGTATACTCTGGGTAACAGATAGTTAGTGGGCTCCTTCTTATCTTTTCCTCAAAAAGGTCTTTCTTGTTAAGAAAGAGAATGATCGATGTGTCTGTAAACCATTTGTTGTTACAAATGCTGTCAAACAGTTTCATACTTTCATGCATTCGGTTCTGGAAAATTAAGCACAGGAGAATGTATCACTAGCAGAACAAGCAAAAAGCTGACCACTTAGCAACTTAAAAATAGTATCAAGTTTTAAGAACACAGACTTTCAGAGAATAAAATTCAAAGGAACTCAAGTCAAGCAACTAGTCACACAGAAGATCATTCCCCTAGCACAGAAATCACTCTGCATTTTTGCAACGAAAATAGGATTTAATCCTGTCTACATGCTGAATGCTATTAAATATCTCACTAAATATTACATCTAGGCAACAGGCAAAACTAATCAACTCTGGACTAGGTAACTTGTAAGATTGCTTCTAGCTCTGTAAATTATGGTTCATATTTAGAATTTAATCTCACTAAGCAAGAAAGAAAGCGTTAGAATATGTTATTGGCAGTAGTGAACATTAGTGCTTTCTGAGCAGTTAGCACTATGAACTCTAATGAGGAGAAGAAGCAGAAGGCCCAGGCACAAAATCATCAATGATAAAAGGGAAGAAATTAAGAAGCTAAGCCCATAGAAGTACAAAAAAAGAACAGTAAGAGAGCCTACACAGATATCAAGACCTTGCTGATCACAGTATGCTGTAGATAGAAGAGAAATATAAAGAAAACATGGGTATCATTCACTCAGTGGTAAATTCAGGAAAAGGTTAAAGAAACTCTGGTGGTCACTGCCAAAATAACCACAATTAGAAGAATTTACAGTACTATACATACAGACTATTTACCTGTTAATAATTAATAAAGGCTTGTAATTGGTAGGGCATAACCAATTAAAGTTAAAGACAAAGCCTGATCCCATTTGTTACATCTGTATGTAGAATGTGCAGTGTAGAATGGTAATGTGAAAAGGATGCTTCAAAGGGTAACACCAATGTCACACTCAGGCTTCACAATAAACAAGGGACAGATGTAAATAAAGCATCATTATCTACATTTATTTGTTCAAAGAGATCCTTGCATAGCACTGAAGCTCAGATGGAGCAGATTATCAAATGTGTCCATTCACAAGGAGAAGCAGCAGTGAATGCATCATCATACAGCCTGGTCTCCTGCTCTTGGAAGTTTACAATAAGGGCATTAGTTTTCAGTTCAGTGAGAAATTTATACACGTGAAATAACAGAGGTTCTACATAAGAGAAGACTTTTTAGAATATTATTTTCCTCCTCTACTCCTCATTCCCCATATTTTTTGGCTCTACTTAGAAGCCTATTCACTGTAATTTTCTGCAACATACCATCTCTTCATCTTCAGCTAAGACAAGGTCATAATCGCTGAGGGCCACACAGAAGATGATTGCCGTCACACCTTCAAAGCAGTGAATCCACTTTTTTCGTTCTGATCGCTGACCTCCCACATCAAACATCCTGAGAGAGGATAAAGAAGAATTCAGTAGAATTACACACCCACAGTTACATACCCACCCCTGCCTAGGTTCAAATGGTTAGAAAATTTCCACTGAAATTTTCAAAAACCTTATTTAAAGGAAAGGAAAACCAAACAATGAGCTAATGAAATACAGTCAATCCCAATTATCTAAGATTATGTGCATAAGAAAATGAAAAGCAAAAAAAATAATCCCCATGCCTAAAATGGTATTTTTGCTCTTCTATCTACTGCTCTTGATTTAGTCCTCTGGATCCAAACAACATTAATCTAATTTCTCCTTCACATGACAGCCCTTCAAAGAATTAAACATGGCTATCACATCCCACCAACTCTTTTCTCTAGATTAAAATTTTCTAGTTCCTCTGACCCAATCCTCTAATGTTATGAACTTAAGCCTTTCATCATTCTAGCTGCCAGCCTCTGGATATTCTAAAACTTATAAATGTTCTTCTAAAACTGTAGTGCCCAGAATTAAACACAATGCTCCACATGAGATCTGACAAGGGCAAAGTACAGTGGGATTATCACCTCCCTATTCCTGGCAGCCATGCTCCTCTTAATGCCGCTCAAAATTTCATTAGCTTTTTTGGCTGTCACATCATATTGCTGACTCATGTTGAGCTTGCTGTCAATTATAAACTAGATCTTTTTCAGAACAGCTTCTGTCTATCCATGCCTCAATCTTATATCTGTAGCACTGATTTTTTATATCCAAGCTAAAGACTTTACAACTACCACTATTAAATTTCATCTATTAAATTTAACCCAGTGCTTTAACCTATCAAGATCCTTTGGATTCCGACTATCCATTATGTTAGCTATCCCTCCCAGTTCTGTGTTATTTGCAAATTTGATTAGCATACCATCTATATCTTTATCCAAGTCATTAATAAAAATGTTAAACAGTGTAGGGTCAGGCACTTGGACTCCAATGCAGAACTCCTGCCACACTGAACTGAATCCTTAACAACTATTCTTTGAGTCTGGGGATACAAATAGTTCTGAATCTATTTAATTATATTCTTTTTTTTTCTTTTTAGGCAACTGGGGTTAAATGACTTGCCCAGGGTCACAACAGCTAATAAGTGCCAAGTGTTTTGTCTGCGGCCACATTTGAACTCAGGTCGGTTAGTCTGGCACAGTAAAGTCATGTAGGCTCTTTATAATCACCATTCTCCTTTCTGGATATTCACAATCCATCTCTTTGAATATCTTTTCTATAATTTTCCCAGGAATCAAAGTTTACTGGTCTGCAGTATGCAGATTGTATTCCCTTTTACTCAAGGGCAGCTAGGTGCTCTCTTCCTACTTCCTAACTTGTTGTCTTAAGAATCAACTGCCCATTGGTCATTTTTGTTCTGTCATTTCCAGTGAAAAGGTCCAGAGAAAGCAGAACCAAAAAAGACTCAAGCAGGCCAGCTTTATTGTCTGTTACTATCATCACCTCTACTACTGTTTAATTCTACACGGAGGGGTAGTCCTTTCCCTAGGAAGCTCACAAATCTACTGCAGCAACACACTTCGTTATGCTTTGTTAATCAAAACCAGGAAATAATCAGCCTTGCTCATTCCAAAAATGTTCAAACAAGTCACAATCTTACCGGCAGGACCTTTCTAGATGTTACACATTTCAAAACCACAACTGATGGCTAACAGTACCAAAAAGCCTTCTGCAAACTCTAATTTCTATAAAGGAACAAAACAGCCTTAGTTATAATGAAGATAGAATTGCGCTTTCTTAGAGTGAGACCACAGTGGCCACTGAATTCAGCCTCCACCTGGAAAGGGAGCCCTACGATAAATCCTCAGGAAGCAGTCATTTAGCCTCGAGACCTCCAGCATGGGAGAATCCATTCCCTCCCAAAGCAGCACATCTCACTCTGGGATAGACATGATTTGGAGAAGTTTTTCCTGACTTCCAGCTTAAATCTGCCTCTCTGCCACTTCCACCCACTGCTCTTGGCTCTGTCTGCTGGAGCCAACAGACCAAGTCTAAACCTCTTCTACATAAACAGCCTTCAGATACTCAATAAAGGCTAACTCGTCCCACTAAGTCTTTTCTTTTCCAGGCAAAATATGCCCAGTTCCTTCAACTCATCCTCATCTGACAGGGACTCCAGGCCTTTCATTCAGGCTGAACTCTCAGCCTCTCTAGGTTAAATGACAGCCTTCTTCAACTGCAGAACTCAGAACCAAGCACCATACAGGATTCTCACCTCCTTCTTCCCAGAAGTTCTACCTCTCTCCCTTTCCCTTTCCCTCTCTCTGTCTCTCTTTAAAATGGCGGGGAAGAGTGGTGTTGTAGGGGAGGAGAGTGATTACAAAATGACTAGAGAGATAGAGAGAAAACAGAGACAGAGAAGACAGCTTTAGTCCTTTAAAAAAATTCATACTATTTATTTTTGGCATTCCTTTCTTTTTAAAATTTGAGTTCCATGTTCTCTCCTTCCCTCCTACCCCTCCAGAGCGCTGTGTCTTTTAATGCAGATAACTTTCTTGGCTGCCACATCATGCTGTTGCTTTCTATAGAGCTTGTGGGCTTCTAAAAACTCCAGATCTTTTTCAGACAAATACTGCTGTCTAACCCCCACCCCCCACCCCGGTCTATTCTTGTGAAGTTAATTTTTTTGGACCCAAGAGTAAGACTTTACATTTATCCTTACTGAATTTCATTTTATTAGTAGATTCAGTCTAACACTCTAGTCTGTCGAGATCTTTTTGGATCCTGACTTTGTAATACAGTGTGGTTAGCCTTGTATCATATGAAAATCTAATGAGTATGCTATCAATAGCAATCTAAGACTTCAAGGGAAATTATTTTATAAGGTGTTATAAATTAGCTATTGGATACAGTAAGCACTAATAAATATTTTTTCATTTATTCATTATTGAACAAAAAGGATTCTACCAATAAACAACAGCTTAACCAAAACCTGCATATTAGAACAAGAAACTGATTTAGGAGTGGCTTAAGAACTGGATTTAGGGTGAAAAGAAAGGGCATAGAAAAAGTGACCCCCAACCTTAGCAATAAAGAATGCAGAACAAAAAAGGAACCAAAAGTCGGTTCTGATACACATAAAACTTACATAAAGGATAATGGTAAAGTGTCTAAATCTAAAGTACCTAAACCATTTGCACTAACCTACTTTATGCAAAACCACTGTATTAGACTAAAAAAATTTTCTCCATCAATATTTCCCCTTTCCCAAAAATAACTCCACTCTTAAGCTATTTCAACACATTGTTTGAGAACTTTGCCACACATGATGCCGTGCACAATATCAGTCCAAGGGCCAAGACAGTATCAGCTCCATTAGAAGTAAAGGAAAAAATGCCGAGCAAACAGGAAAAGGATAAAACAACTGGCAAGAAAAAGCACTGATCTTATAAAAGCAAAAACGCAGGACAATGAAAGCTAAATAGTTAAACCAGAGAACTGGTAATCAAAAGTTCCCTTTAATATTTTTACCCTGTGAAACAGCAAACCATTCAATACCTGTATTGATGATTCCAATGAAAAAGCAGCTGAAAAGATTAAAATTAAAATAAAATAAACTAGTATTCACCAGAATAATTCTACTTACAGGCAAATTTAAATTTCATTTACAACCTAAATCCAAAGAATGAAGTTATTTGAAGTTACTTAGAGGTAGAATGAGTAATGAATGCTTGCTTCATTCAGCGTCATGAATAGAATGAGAAGTAAATTACTGATCGATAATTATGAAAATAATATTCAAACTAGGTGAGAATATCCCCTGGAGAATTTTGCCCCAAATAAAAACTACTCAACAGGAAAATACAGTTCTGGGTTCAGCACACTCAGTAAAACAAAAAAGTCACTTACTTGAAGTACAGGTCTTTGAAAGTGAAATGAGTCTCTACTATGCCTGTGGTTTTCACTCTTGTCCGTAGGACATCTTGCTGAGTTGGAATATAGCTGGTTTGGGATATTCTATCCAAGTCATTTAGGTAACTAAATTAAAATACAATATACTTTACTTTTAATCTGTGACACCAACCACATACTAAGCAAAGTAACAGAAAATGCTAGCAAACCTGTCAACAAGACAAAAACATTCTTTCTTTATACTTCACTAAGGCAGAAATACAATATGATGATCTTTAGTGTCTCAGAAGTAAAATAAGGGAGGAAGAAGCATGGCTAAAGCTCAACTGAGGGCTCATCTGCAATCTTTCATTAATTTCAATCTCAAAAATGAATCAAAAGCATGATGCCTCAACTGTACTCTAACATCCACTACCTCTCTCCATCTCACAGTCATCCACCTGTGAACAGGATCAGGGATGAGATTTACTTACAAGTGACTAGTACAAGAGGGTTCTACACAGAAGCCTATTACAAGTGCCAGTCACAGAGAATGGGCTATGAAAGAAAAAGAAAACACAACGATAATTTCGGTCCATAGATGGCTATCGGTATGAAACACTGATATGCAGCAGTCCTTAGTGAGATGGAAGATAGCCAAGACCCCAGCTGCAAAGGATTTTTCCCTCCTCCACTTGTTCACAAGAATATCACAATTGTATTTACACTACGCCAACAAGCTTCCCTTCACGTTCGTGGAAGGGTTGTACAACACTAAAATGAAACAATTTTCATGAAGGATGTTACATCGCTTTTCTAAAAGATGTCTGTTATGCAGATTTCTCTTCAAAGATGAATGCTAGAACTTTTCCAGGGTTTAGAGCCATAGCTATTTCCTGCTATGTCATCACCAAGGAAAATTACTTACTATGAGGCAGAGTCATTGAGCTGATATTCCCTTGATCTGCTAAAGCAGGCTTGCACGCCACCATCTCGCCATAACCGTTTAATTACTCCTGCCAGTTCTGGAGTCATCACCCCCTCTTCAGCACTACCAGCTAAAACAAACAACTGCCGAGCATCATCCTAAGGAAAAGGATTTAGGGCAGAGAGAGAAATAAATGTTAGGTGAGTCTTTTATTTCCTAAAACACTAAAAAAATTTAAAGACAGGCTGAAGTTCTATATGGAATAAGATTTGTCCCAATGAATCAGAAAGGCATGAAAAAGATCATTGGCCTCTTCTTCCCTAGGAAGACAGAGAGAACTTAAATCCACTTACCTTTCTTCCCTTAAATCAAAGTTACCATTTCCACCTAGAAGATATATTGTCTGAGGGAAAAATCTTGCGCTGAATGGAGAAATGATGATCTCACTAAAAGGGGTCCCCTTTTGACTGGCCCATGGATTCCCCCAGTAGCCATTCAGAGTTACTAATACAGTACAAAACAGAAAGACCAAAAGAATGAAGACTCAACGTGCAGGGGCCCCTCTTCTGTTCTGCTAGTGGGGGGCAACAGGTCTCTATGCAGAAAACCGAAATAGAATCTCTAGGGCTTATGAAAGGGTTAAGTAAATTTCTAATAAGAAAATGGGAATAGGTCATGGCTTTCAAGTAGTTCATTAATTCTTAAATTACTTCTCAATCTGTTTTCCAGGGCAACTGTTTTTCCTATGATATATTTCATATTTTCTTCCATTTTTTCAGTCTTTTGACTGTTTTATTGCTTCTTGATGTCTCATGGAGTCACTGGCTTCCATTTGATTAATTTTAATTTTTAAGAAATTATTTTCCTCAGTGAAGTTCTGTACCTCCTTTACCATTTGGCCAATTCTGATTAAGGGATTATTTTCTTCAATATTGTGTGTGTACACAAGCACACACTCTTTTACCAAGCTATTATTTTTTTCCACAATTTTCTTGCATTGCTCTCATTTTTTTTCCATTTTTTCCTCTACTACTTTTGTTAAAATATCTTTTTTTTTTGCTCTTTTAAAAAATTTCTTTAGCTCTTTCAGAAATTCTTGTTGGGCTTGTGTTCAGTCAGCATTTTTCCCTTGGGGCTTTGCTTGTAGATGTTTTCAAGTCATCGTCTTCCAAGTTTGTCTTGACCTTCCTTGTCACCACAGCAACTTCTTATGATTAGCTTCTTTTTTTTTGTTGTTTGCTTAGTTTCCCAGCCTATTTCTTGACTGTTCAACCGGGGGGAGGGGGAAGGTTAATATCTGGCCTGAGCTTCTATTACCTCTTTCTGCTTTCACGGCTCAATCTGGCGGTCAGTAGGTTTTTGGTGACTCCAAAATGGTATGATATGGAGAGCAGTCTGGTCAATGCTCTCTTGGTCTGCGTTTTAGTTCTTATCCAAGTAGGGCCTCTGCTCCCATTCCTCTCTGCCCTGGAATTGTGACCCAGAGCCATGTAACGGCCAAACAAAATGCCAAACGACACCTGATCCTACCCCCAGTTCTAATACAGGGGTCCCCTAGAATTTCTTTCTGACCAAGTATTTGGTGAGAATATCCCTTACAACCCCTGGCTCCTGGGGCTGTGTCTCCCTGCTGATGCTACCTCACCTATTGCGTTCAAGGTTAACTTCAACCCCAGTGTCCATAGATCTCTTTCTCTCCTCCTAAGCTTCCCTGGGCTGGAAAAATAACTCACTGTGACTTTTACTTGGCTTTTCCGCTCAGCATTCTGTTCAGTGTTTTCTATATGTAGTTGTTATGTAGGAAAGGTTTTGGAGGAGGTGTGGCTGTGTAACCTCTTATTCCACCATACTGACTACAATCCCCCATTGAGAATGGGAATAGGAGAAAAATTTAAAAGAAATAAGGCATTGTAGCACGACAACAGATCTATGTAAAACAGTTAATTCCCCTTAAAGAATTTAAGTCTAGAACACTTAAAAGTAATGAGACCAGAAAGAGAATATTGCTATAATAGTTTTAATCTTATTGCTTTGTTCCTTTCCTAAATAAACAGACTTTCAGGAGTTATTTCCCTAGCTAATATCTAAGGTTTCCGTCTATCATAAAGAATAGTGTCTAATCTTAAAAGTGTACACAGGATACTCAGAAGAAATATTATACACTAGAAAGAATGGGTATGGGAAGGAAGGCTGATGTATATTTCGTTTCCTTTCTGTTTTCTTTTTGCTTTTTGGTGAGGCAATCGGGGTTAAGTAACTTACTCAAGGTCACACAGCTAGTAAGTGTTAAGTGTCTGAGGCTGGATTTGAACTCAGGTCCTCCTGACTCCAAGGCCACAGCCCTATTCATTGGACCACCTAGGGGGTGCTCCAATTTATATTTCTTATATATAATTCTAAGAGAAACAAGCCAATTAAGAAGTAAAAAAAGAAAAGGTGAAATCAAGACTAGGAATTAATGTGACTTGTTTCTTGTAAGAGTTCATCAAAATGAACTTCTAGCCCCACCTTTCCCTTCTCTTTCCGTTAATATATTCTAGTCAACACTGCCAAACTCAATAATTTTTTGCCTTGATGTTTTTTATCTAGTATACCCTCCTTTCTCCTCTATGTGTGAGGTTCCTCTTCCTTCTTTCAAATATTACTTCAAAGCCCCTCTCTTCCAAAAAAAAAAACCAACAAAAAAACCCTTCTCTGACACTTGTGATATACTCTCCTCTTTATGTTGATAGGGAAAAGTTGGAATAAAAGTATTAATCATTAGAAATGTAAAAAAATCAACTTATACTCTCAAAATACTATGCATTTACTGTTTTCTTCTATGGGTATGGTGTGGTTACAATGTGAGGCTTTGAAGGCAAAGCCTCCTTTTAAGTTTGTATTCTAAGTTTGAGCCATTCCCAAAATAAGTTCAAAATTTGTTACAAATAAATCTTACAATCATAGTATTCTATTTTAGAAACTGACTGTTAACTCTTCTCCTTTACTGTCCAACCAGCTCCCTTCTCGCTTAGTAAGCCTTCTAACTACAAACAGCCCCCTTCCAGTGCAATAAACTCCCTACCTGTAAGCAGACAAGCAAGAGCAGCCCCATCCTGCAGCTGGCTTCATTCCTGGCCTTCTCTTCCAAACCAATCATAAAACAGCCTAACTTCTGACCTCTTTTAAGGCAGAGTTGGGCAGCCAACAGGGAGGAACAGAGAAGGGATAGAATAACACTGTGTGCATGTATAAAAGAAAGAAACATTAAAAATAAATTATAAATGACAGCAGGAAGTATTCTGTGTGTGCTAGAGAGCTCAAGGGACATTCGAAGTCAAGGCAGGATTAATGGTTTCAACAGTGTTTGGTGAAAAGAGTGGCCCACAGATTAATAAAAAGTAATCTGATCAAGCTGAGAAGAGTCAGAAAGAGAAGGGGGTGAAAGAGATAAAGGAAGAGAAGAATGAAATAGTGGGTGATCAGAAAAGATTACTGTAACCTAAATGGAGGGGGAGGGGCTGTTGTTGCTCAGTTGTTTTCAGTCCTGTCTGACTCCTCGGGGTTTTCTTGGCAAAGATACTGGAGTGGTTGCCATTTCCCTCTTTAGCCCATTTTACGGATGAGGAAACTAAAGCAAACAGGGTTAAGTGACTTTCCCAGGGTCACACAGCTAGCAAGTGTCTGAGGTCACATTTGAACTCAGGTCTTCCTGACTCCAGGCCCAGGACAGGGAGAGAACAAAAAGTAAACACAGAAGAGGAAAAGGGAGAGGACAAAAAGGGGGTGGGGTGGGGGTGATGAATCTACTTCAGTTTCTCTGATCATACAAATTTTTTTCTTCTCGCATAAGCTTAGAAAATGGGGTATCTCGTAATGTGATGCTTGCGTCCTGGAAAAATGGGCATTCTAATAAGCGGGAAGGCAGAAGGAAAGAGAACATGGATTTATATAGTATCTACTATGTGCTAGGCACTGTGCTAAGCACTTTGCAAATATTATCTCATAAGATCTTCACAATAACCCTGGGAGGCAGTAATAACTAACAGCTAACAGGGCCTGGAGTCAGGAAGACTCATCTTCATGAGTTCAAATCCGGCCTCAGATACTCACTAGCTGGGTGACCCTGGGCAAGTCACTTAATCCTGTTTCCTTCAGGTTCTTCATCTGTAAAAATGAGCTGGAGAAGGAATAGCAAACCATTCCAGTATCTTTGCCAAGAAAACCTCAAATGGGGTCACGAAGAGTCAGACAGGACTGAAACAACTGAACAACATTTATATAGCACCCACTATATGTGCCAACTTCTGTGCTAAGCACTTTACAAATATTACCTCATTTGATTCTCACAACAATCCTGAGAGGTAGGTGCTATTATCTCCACTTTACAGATGAGGAAACTGGGGCAAACATAGGTTATGTGACTTGCTCAGGGTCACACAGTTAATAACTGAGGCCAGATTTGATCTCAAGGTCTTCCTGATTCCAGGTCCAGGGCTCTATCCATTGTGCCACCAGCTGCCACCTAATGCTTAAGAGCACAAATGTGATTTTTTTCCTTCCATTTATTAAACCTGCCTCTGCTCATATTTCTTCCCAGCACTTTAGATTTTCTGGTTCTCTTTTCTCCTCTTCCCACATATCAAAAACCTGCCTTGACCATTTGGTTAAAATGCCTTTCACAACCTGGTACCAGCTCACTCTCTCCGTTTGCTGCACTTGTAACTCCTTTACCCAATCTATACTTCACATACACTGGCACACTTGCTTTCTCCACACCCGGCCTTCTCACCTCCACCTCTCACAGTCCCTGGCTTCCTTAAAGGTGAAGTTCAGATGCCACTTCCTCTTGTCTATTCCCCCAGGAATTACTTTGTATTGACTTTTCTACATTTTGTACATGTTGTTTCCTCCTAATACAGAGATCCTTAATCTGCGGGCCATGAACGTATTTTTTAAAATATTTTGATAACTGTATTTAAATATAATTTAGATTCCTGTGTGATCCTATGTATTGTCTTCTATGCATTTAAAAACACTATCCCAAGAAAGGGTCCAGAGGCTTCACTAGGCTGCCTCAGGGGGCTATGGCACCCAAAAGGTGAAGAATTCCTGCCCTAATTACCAGAATGTAGAATCCTTAAGGGCAGAAAATGTTTTGCTTTCTGCCTTTGTACTCCCAGAGCCTGGCATTGTGCCTAGCACACAGAAAGTACTTAATAAATTCTTGTTGAATGAATGAATGACTCCTAATCCAATCTGACTCAGACAACTTTTTTAATTTTACCTCCCTTCAGCAATTACATACTCAATGTGTAACTAAATTAAACTATACTTTCTGATGCAGTGCTTTGCAGGGTACATTATCCTTAAGTCATTTCATGTATACCAGCTATGCTTCCACTAGATTCAAGGTTAGGACAGCACCTCAAATAATGCTGACTGACCATCGATTACAAGAGGCTACTCCAACTCATCCCTATCCTCCTGAAGAACTGTTTCTAGCCATCACAATTACTGATGATGTCAACAAAGCTCCATACTGGAATGAGAACATTTTGATTAGAGACTTAGATTGCAAAATCATAGAGCTGGAGTCAGAGGTCACAAAGTCTAACCTATGAAAATCTAATCCATAGTCTGATTCCTATACAGGGAATCTTTCCCATATAACATCCCCAGCAAGTGTTCATCCAGTTAATGTCTCCTCTAGGGACAGAGACTTATCACCTCTTAAGGTTAGATTGCTCCATGTTTCAATGACTAATTCTTAGGAAGTTTTTCCTTACATGGAACCGAAATCTGTCTCTGCATCTTCTCCCATTAGTCCCAATTCTACCCTCTTGCATCATACCGAACAAGTAATCTCTCTCTTACATGACAGGCCTTGAAATATCTCAAAATAACCTATTGTAGTCCCATAAGTCTTCTCTTTTCCAGGCTCAATGTCCCCAGTTCTTTCAGTGAATCCTCACATGATATTTTTTCAATTTCTATCTACATAGCTGTTCCCTAGAATTCCAGCTTAATATACTTCTTAAAATGTGACATGGCCCCTCTCCTCCCAAAATTGAACACAATGCTTTATGTGTGTTTTGACTAGTAAAAAGAAGAGTGGGACTCTCACCCACCGGACATTATACTTTCATTAATGCAGTACAAGACTGCTTAAGTCCTAGAGCTCATTAAGTCAATCAATAGATTATGAATGCCTCATAAAGTCTAAAACATAACAACACAAGATTCTTAAAGTTCAAAATTTTCCACTAAAATTTAGTTTATTTGTGTACTTTTCAAATTTAGTCCCAATATGTCTATTCCTGGAGACCAATTTTTACCTTCATTGTCTCTACTCAGAAGAGCAAGTGGCAACAATTCCTCAGATGACAAAATTATTAAAGGGAGCTCCTTCTAAGAAAATGAAACTTGACCATGAAATGAGATGAATGGTTGAAAAAAAAATTGGTTAATTCAGGGTGTTCAGAGAATCTTGGTGCCATTCTAAGCAATTATAAACTTTTGGGAGACCTTGCACGGAAGCATCCACTTGAACTTTTCAGCACCTCTCTGTAGCTGGAGTGTGGCCCCTGCTACGGCGGGCTGCTAACACTTCTTGGGTTGCCACGTACTTACCACAGGGCCTATGCTATTGCTTCAATTCTTTTTCCTGACAGATGAAGCAAGTTCTGCCTCTCTATGAACAGCACCTACTGAACAGGAGGAAGCTAAAGGAAGTGAGAAACACTCACAGCTCTGGCAGCTTCCCCAAAGTCAATCTTCAGTCGTCCCATGGCTCTTATAATTGCAATGATGGACTGGATGGTGTTGCTGTAAACAACTACTTTATACTGTTTGCATTCTTCCTCGGAATATCCATCTTCATGGATGATTCTTAAAAATAAAAAAAAGAAAGAAAGGAAACCAAAACCCAATATTACTGCTAAAATGAAAAAATAAAACACCACAGGTTTTTAAAATACTAAGTGAGAAAATTGAGCTTTACAAAAGGTCACATTCTAACTTACTTCATTTGTTTCACAATAGTGCTTTTACCAGATTCACCAGCACCTGAAATACACAGAAGATATACTTTAAATTTCTCAATTATCAAACATTTTAGGTATGAAAATCTTTTTCAAATTATCTCTGTCACAAAACAATATTTATTAGACTTCAATATGTGTCGCTCAGCCACAAAATTCAACTTACCACAGTGTCTTAGGGGTTGTTTCTTGGCATTACTTGCAAAATATATAAACTTCCACAGAAAAGTGTTACCACAGATAAACAAATAATAATGGTTCACATTTGCATTAGCGTTTGAAGCTTTAAAAAACACCTCATACCAACTTTCGGTCATTATTTTCATTTTACAGATGTGAAAACTGAGACCCAGTAAAATTCAATGATTTGCCAAGGACAATAGCTAAATAAATGTCAGAACTGGCATTTGAATGCATGCCCTCTGACTCTAACCCAATGGTCTTTCTACTATACCTGAAAATACTACTTTCTATGCTGGTCACCACCTTTGCCACAGTCAAGTCTGCTATTACTATATGACCTAAAACTGAGGCATTCTTATCTCCCAAGCACATCTGTTACTTATAAATAGATAGCAAGTCCACAAAAAGAGTGATCTAATTTGGGGTAAGACTCTACCAATTACTTACTCGCTATACATTTAACACCACTGCCCCAAGTCAAGACAATGCAATCACTAAGGCTGATGCTAGTTATAGGTATTTGCCTCAGTTCATCCAACAGAATGGACAACTCAAGAGAGTCCCTTTTGTCTGTCAGTACACATATGTCTTATCTCACCCTGTTCTTGGTACTCACAGTCCTGGAGTTCAGAATTAGGAAGTAAATGACAAGGCAGAATCAAAAATATCCAGCACAACATTTTTAAGTAAGTTAATAGGAGAGCAGAATTTACAGCTGAATGGGATCACCTAGTTCCACCCCTTCATTTTACAGATAAGGAAACTCAGGCTCAAAGATGTACAGACCATGTGGCAAAACTAGTATTTGAATCCAGGTTCTGTAAGACCAGACCCAGTCCTCTTCGCACCATCGTAACATAGGGCCTCCTTGCTCACACACTCTCATCTACTTTTCTCCCTGATGAGTACTAAAAGTGCAACTTAGATAACAAACTGCTTCATCCTCTGATATCCAAAAATTTGATATTAAGAGTGAAAGGTTTGCTCTAATACAGGCAAAGCACCATGATCTGCTTTTGTACAAATATGTCACTGTTATAAATCAGGTATTTTCCCCCTAGTCATAACTATAAGAACAACATCCAATGAGTATGGATCTCACTACAGGACTGAAACTTATGTGTACAAAAAGAGTGCTTCTCATCAGTGGTATTAAACCCAAATAGAAACAGATCCAGCATTACATACTGATTTAGAAAGCCATAAATTAACATTATCTATGCTGTATTATATTTTTATTTATTTTGTTAATCATTTCCCAATTACATTTTAATCTGGGTATTCAAGAATTCTGCACCTCTGTTTTATACTATTTACTCTATGCTAGAAAACCATCAATTCAGCAAAAGGAAGAAAGAGTACAGATAAAGTGCACAGCTAGCACCACCCAAACAATATTTAATTTAATATGCCTAGTACAACTTTAATCTCTACTTTATTAAGGAAAAAAAAAAGATGAGCTCATTACATTGTGTTTTCTTATCTTCTGACAAAGCTAGTTACCTTCTGTATATACAGCCCCAAGACCAAAAACAATGAATTTGATTAAAGGGTTACACAATACTCAAGTTGTTGATTACCTATTGCTTTCCAGAACCGACTGGATCACTTCACAGGTCCACCCACAGTCCATCAGTGTGCCTGTCTTCCTAACAGTCCCTCCAACAGTTTGTCATCTTTGCCAATTTGATGAGTGTGAGGCAGAACCTCAGAGTTGTTTTAATTTGCATATCTCTTACTAGCGAGGAGGAACACTTTTTCACGTGACTGTTGATAGCACGTCTCCTTTTGAGAAATGGCTCTTGTCATAAATTTTAATCAGTTTCTTCAATATCCTGGATATGAAATCTTTATCAAAGAAACCCCCTGCAAAAGTTCCTTTGCAGGCTCCCCCATCCCAAATTAACTGCTTCCCTTTTGTTTCTAACTTCATTGATTTGTTTGTGCAAAAAGTTCTTTCAATTTTACTTAATCAAAGGTATCCATTTTATTTCTCTGAGATCCTCTCTATTCCTTGTTGGTCAAGAACTGTTCCCCTGTCAATAGCTGCAAAAGGTAATTCCTTCCCTAATACTCTACTCTGTTTTATGAGGGGACCTTCTGTATCTAGGTTGTGCAACCATTTGGAGTTCTCCGTGACATATGGCATGAGATGTTGGTCTAAGCCTCATTTCTCCCAGACTGCTTGTCAATTTTCCCAGGAATTTTTGTCTGACAGTGAGTCCTTAAACCAGTAATTGGTCTCACTATGTTTATCAAACAGTTATTATGCTCATTAGCTTCTGGATCAAGATCTCTGACTCCACAGTCAGTCATTTTACTTTTTATTATGCTACGCTACATTTCCTCTTTTTCTCCTTTTCCATCGGCTCCTGTTTACAAACCCATCTTTCTTCTCCCCTCTCTAGGACAAACTTCTTGAAAAAGCTTTCTACAGCAGATGCCTCCACTTCCTCAACCACCTGATCATTTTCTACTAAACATTTTACAACCTATTGCTCATTTCTACCATTCAACTTAAATTGCTTTTTCAAAGGTCACCAATGACTTCTTCACTATAAATGTAACAGTATTTTTTTCAGTCTTTATCCCCCTGGATTCCTTGGTAATACAGGATAGTGAAGGCTACTACCTACCTTGGCTTCAGACACCACACTCCCAGATTCTCTTTCTAGCTCTCCACCCCTCCTGCAGCTCCTTGATTTATTCCCAGTCCTTACAAATGGTCTGGCTTTAGACATTGCCTCATTTTTCTCTACACCCTCTTCTTTGGCAATCTCCTTCATTACTACTGCTTCAAAGTCCAGTTCTAATGAGATGCCTCCCAAATCTGTATCTCCAGCCATACGCTGTAGACTTAAATCACAAAATGTTAAGAGTGGAAAAGGATTGTAGAGGCCATCTAGTACAACCCATGGAAATTTGATTGTCCAGTCTCTGCCTGAAGACTTTCAGTGAGAGAGAACCCACTAACTCCCCAAAGTGTCCATAACACTTTTGGATAATTTTAATAATTATGCTTTTGCTTAAATCATTCCTCAATCTTCCTCTCTGCAACCTGCTCCCAATATTCCTAGTTCTATATGCTAAAGCCTTGCAAACTAAAGTGCAATCCCTCTCAACATGAGAACCCTTCAAACCCTTGAAGACAGCTAACATGAGCACTTCCCCCATGCTTCCTCTTCTCCACACTGAACGTCCCCCGTTCTTATCTAATAATAATAATAAAAATAACGACGAAGTATGTAGTGCTTTGAGGTTTGCAAAGCTTTAAATATATTATTTCATTGAAGCCTTACAACAACCTTATGAGGTATGTTCCATTTGATAGGAAAGGAAACTGAATCTGGAAGAATTAAGCCCACAATCACACAGCCAGCATCTGGAGTGGGATTGGAACTCAAGTCTTCCTGACGCCAAGCCCAACATTCTTTCCAATGCACCACCTTGCTGCCTCTGCCACCTGAATTTCATCAACTCTCACACTCCATAGATCTAAAAGTGAGCTTATTATAAATCTTTCCCCATAAGCCTGGTTCGCATTCTGACTTCACCATCTCTGACTATGGCATAAGCCATTCACCTAGACTCCTACATTCACAACCTCAGTGTTTTCTCTGACTCTCCATCTACATCATGTTTCATGTGTTTACTACTAAGTCCAATTAATTCTATTATTCCAACACCACTGCCCCACCCCACATTATCTCTTTTGATTTCCAAGTGTACCACCCTGTCACAGCCCTCATTATCACGCACCTGCAACACTGCAATAACTTCCTAACAAGTCTCTATCTCCACTCTTGTCACCTTCCAACCCACTCTCTCTTCTGGGCTATATCACTGATGGGCTAACTTTCCTTCTGCAGAGATTAATCATTTTATAGGTCAGCTAGGTGGCACAGTAGATAGAAAACCAGACATGGAGTCAGGAAGACATGAGTTCAAATCCAATCTCAGGCACTTACTACTTGTGTGACCCTGGGCGAGTTATTTAGTCCTGTTTGCCTTGGTTTCCTCATCTGCAAAATGAGCTGGAGAAGGAGATGACAAATCACTCCACTATCTCTGCCAAGAAAACTCCAAATGGGGTCATGAAGAGTCAGACACAACTGAAATGACTGAACAACAACAACAAAGTCATATTATTTTTCTGATCAATGATATTCAGTGGCTTTCTACTGCCTGTCAAGTAAAGTGAAAACTTCCTTGTCTGGTATTCATACAGTCTATATTTCAGTTATGCCAGACTACTATCTGACCCCTTAATGTGGCCTATGTTATTTATGTCAAGTGTACCACCACTCTTCCAATCACCGAGGTTTATAACTTTAATGTTATCCTAGACTCCTTACCCTCCTTCACCCCACATCTTGTCACTTCTATATCTAATTCTCTCATATCTATCACTTTCTCTCCAATCACCCAGCCATCACCCTAAATCCACCAGGACCTCATGAACTCTCCCTGGACCTACTGCAATAGCTTCCTACCTGGTTTCTCTGTCTCAAGTCCCTCTCCACTCTACTCTGTAATACATGACACTTTGATCTCACTATCAATGTGCACTTGCACTGGCTGTCCTCTATGCCTGGAATGCACTCACTCTCAAAATCTCTAGCCTCCTCAGCTCAAGCATCATCTTCTAAATGAACTCTTCTCTAGTCCTCTCAGCTGATAGCAGCTCCCCTTTGCCCCCTGGGCTATCCTGAATTTATTTTGTATACACCCATATATGTACATGTCTCCTCTAACAGAATGTAAGCTATTTGAGGCCAGGGACTAACTCACTCTTGTTTTTATATTACCAATGTCTAGCACAATGCCTGGTACATAGTAGGC